TAAGAATAACAAATGTTGTAGTACAATTTTAGCTATGTTCTTGGTGGATTTATTGTTTATACTTTAATTCGCTTGCGTTTAATATATGATTTGGTTGTTATCAGTGGTTTCTTCGTTATCAAATGAAAACCGCATGCACGCACATATATGAGGAATATAATTCTACTGATTTTAGCTATGTCCTTAGTTTTTCACTCTCATCGTCGTATGGTGGAAGCGCAATTCCAAACAAACGAAATGACTTTTATTTTAATAACAAATATTAATATCTTCGTTGGCCAAATGTGGTCAGAGCGCGAATGCAAATAACGGTATAAATAAAACGATTAATATGTACAACAATAGTACAAATATCTCCGATTTATGTTAGTTTTCGGTATTTTTTACCAGGAAAGTTGAGATTGAAGAATACTGGGTGGCCCAAAAGTAGGTGGTGGCTCAAAAGTAGGTATACAGTTATTAAACTATTTTATATGCTTTGAAGCTACTTGCAGTTCACTTTATGTTACTTGTTAAGTACCACAAAAATTGCCTATTTTTTAGATAATAAATCTAGTGTGAATTTTACATTAGTTTTCTAGCTGCTTGCAAGGTAATAAAAAATAAATAAAATAACTGTATACCTACTTTTGGGCCACCCTGAGGGCTTAGTCTGGAAGATCTCAAAAATTAGGGGCGATAGCGATTCATAAAAATGGGTACTCCCGTAGTGTGCGTACCAGGTTAGGGTTAGGCCATGATTTTATTCCGAATTTTTCTTATTTTTGTCCTATTAAATTAGTTCGGGAACTGTCTGTATTAAACAAGGGAAATTGATGTAAAGTAGGCGAACAAAATTAGTTACCTCCATATTAGTACACAAACTTAGCAGCGCCTAAAAATGTTTCGTAAATTCGAATGAATCATGTGCTATTTGTTTTTCATCAAATCCACAAAACATTTCCATCTACTAATGAAATAGGTTATAATGAAATGTCACTCGTATTTTTCTCTGTGTAGTTTTCAGTCTCAACGTAACCGTCTTGTGGATTTGTACTATGAGTAGTAGATAAAAAGAAGTCCCTTTGTGATAATAAATAGTGAGGAATTTTTTAAATAAGCAGACCTACTCAGAATCGTTAAGAGCTGATAGAATTCCAGCGATTTTGTCTTTTTATGGTACTCTACATTCGTTCAATAAAAGTGCGAATTGATTTATACTTTATTATAAATTAGGAGTTCAATATCTGTCTTAACTCTATAAAGTTAGTCAATTCGACCCTGGATGAGATTTAATGTCTGGACGATTGAAACTGAAGGAACTTTACTCTCTTATTTGAGATCTATTCAATTCAAGAGTCTTGCTGCACACGAACACAAATATATTTCTGTAACGTTTCCTCTGACCGAGGTCAGACTTCTTCAGACAAGCATTTCACAACTATAACAAGAAACGCAATTGTATGCACATAAATAACGGTTTCAAATGTTGGATCTGTTTGCGATAGAGAGATATAAATAAAATTGAGACAGTGCCAAGGTCAGACGAAACGTTACAGAAATATATTTGAGTTCGTGTGCAGCAAGACTCTTAAATTGAATAGGATAGCCATTTACACTCTTGTCACAGCATCCTTGCGTAATACGCATACGGATCCACCTGCGCAAAGGCATAGAGCAAGGAAAGGTAGTTAGTTTCACGGAACCTCAACTGTTAGTTATTTGAGATCGTCTGCATTCTCGCGATCGATAAACTACGTATTTCCGTGCGGATGTTTCCCGGCATACAAGTGCAAGCTACAATTTCAAATGAAGGCGTATGCTCTCGGTAACGTGCATTTTCCCGCTTTTGCGTGTTTGACATTCGCCAATTTTCAAAGGAGTTTGTAATATATATATAGCCTATATGCAATATTATTTGGTATCAAATACGTATAACATACCTATATTGCTATACTACAGAGACGCTCTTTACGCCATATTGTAAGTAATAAACTAGAAATCTCGAGAAGTTTTGTCGCAACAGTCGATGCTAGATAAATAAGTGGAAATAAAAACATGAATGCATACAAAAAATTCCAGAAAAGTTTGGTGAGTACGCCTTATTCCTAGTGCTAAGCACACGCCAGGTTGAACCAATTTTAGATACGATATCAGAGAAATTTTTACAGCATTCGTACGAGAAATATGACTCAGTTAAAATTTTCATCAGTTGTGTCCTATGAGCTCAGGAGTTATAAAAAATGATTCCCATTTGCATAGTTTCCCAATTATGAAATTTTGCAGTTGTAACAATCTAAACAATTTTCAATAGATGTGTTGTAACTGTCTCCCACAAAGATGGATCCTCTGTTTAATGTCATTCTTTGGAACCTTTACTGACCTTCACTGTACCAATCGTTGATCGCACGGCTTGCGGGATATAGGCTGTACTGAAAGAAGTGTTACAGCCTTACAACGCGAAGTCAAAATTGATAGCTCAAACTTATGACGGCGCGGCGGTCATGAGTGGGTCGAAACATGGTGTTCAAGTTTATATAAAAGAAGATTTTCCTCATGCGCATTTTTTACATTGTTATGCACACCAATTTAACCTCGTTATTAAAAATATGTGTCTTGATACCCCTCTCGTCCGTATATTTTTTGCAAATGTTTCGGGGTTTTCTTCATTTTTTTCCGTTTCGCCGAAGCGCTCTGACCTCCTTCGCCAGATATGTAGACGCCGTCTCCCAGCTTGTGCACCAACACGTTGGAACTTCTAATCACGCGTGGTGCAGGGCGTGTCCGAAATTAGGTCTGAGCTCATTGAGTGTTTCAATGGCATTCAGAGCTCTCCGGTTTGGGACGAACGCTCTGTGAGGGAGGCGGCAGGTCTAAAGCGTCTGCTAGAAGATGGTGAGTTTTCATTTTTTCTCGCTTTTTTCTCCACAATATTCTATCACGCGGATGTATTATACGGCGCGTTGCAGTCAAGGCTAATGGATGGAGCGTCTGTGCAGTCGTGTATTTCAGACTTCTGCGATGCTGTATCCCGTATCCGGGAAACAATAAAATACGACGACACATGGAGTGCTTCTTTACGCCGCGGGCAAACAACGCAGCGTTTGATTTTGTCTGCAAAGGAATGCTGTGACATTCTGGTGAATCAAATAGGCGATCGTCTGCGCACTGAACACCTTCCCGCGTTCTCTTTGATGAACCCCAAAAATTTTTCAAAATTTGCACGTCAATTTCCCATCCATTTGTTGGCTACTGTCTCCAAATTTTACCCTATGATAAACGTGGGTAAATTGGAAAATGAATTGCGATGTATATACACCAATCAAACTTTTTTGAACATCACATCAACTTGCGCGCTCTAAGGGTTCCTCATAGATAACACTCTAGTAACTACCTTTGCGGCGTCTGCAAAATTTCTGGACATCATTTTGACGACGCCTATTCCTTCCGCCGACGCAGAGCGAACATTCAGCACGCTGAAGCGTATTAAAACGTATCTCAGAAACACAATGAAGCAAGATAGATTAAATTCCTAGGCTGTTTTATCCATTCACCGAGACGTTATTTCTGGGATGCATGACTTTAATCAGCGCGTTATTGAGCATTTTGCTTCCAAGAAACCGCGGCGTGTTGCATATATGTTCAAGCAGTAGAAGTCTAGCAGCATATATATCTATGAGTGAGCGACGCATGTCCTTATCTTTGCATTAACTTTCCTTTCTTCATAGTAACGTTTTAAACCTTATTTTAGGTTTTGTCTGCTTTCCCGAAGTTTCTGTTAATATGTCATTGTATTTATCTGGGTAAATATTGCCTTTCCTTTTGAAAGAGGTTTCAAAATAAACTATGTCTATATTTATTAATCCCTTGACTTGGACCGGTTTTAAAGACGCTTTCTTATCGTTAAAAATTGTCGCTTTTGCCGATTGGTTGTTACCGATGGAATGGTTTTTATACTCATAAAATGATGGGAGAACTTACAGCGCTCATCCTGTCCCCGTAGATGGGGGTGACTTGGTCCCGCAATAGCTTGCCCCGGTTGTCAAAATGACCACGCGCCGCCACTGAGTTACCTATATATTAGTACACAAACTTAGCAGCGCCTAAAAATGTGTCGTAAATTTGAATGAATCATGTGCTATTTGTTTTTCATCAAATCACACAAAACATTTCCATCTACTAATGAAATAGGTTATAATGAAATGTCACTCGTATTTTTCTCTGTGTAGTTTTCAGTCTCAACGTAACCGCCTTGTGGATTTGTACTATAAATAGTAGATAAAAAGAAGTCCCTTTTGTGATAATAAATAGTGAGGAATTTTTTAAATAAGCAGACCTACTCAGAATCGTTAAGAGCTGATAGAATTCCAGCGATTTTGTCTTTTTATGGTACTCTACATCCGTTCAATAAAAGTGCGAATTGATTTATACTTCATTATAAATTAGGAGTTCAATATCTGTCTTCACTCTATAAAGTTAGTCAATTCGACCCTGGATGAGATTTAATGTCTGGACGATTGAAACTGATGGAAGGAACTTTACTCTCTTATTTGAGATCTATTCAATTCAAGAGTCTTGCTTCACACGAACACAAATATATTTCTGTAACGTTTCGTCTGACCGAGATCAGACTTCTTCAGACAAGCATTTCACAACTATAACAAGAAACGCAATTGTATGCACATAAATATTGGTTTCAAATGTTGGATCTGTTTGCGATAGAGAGATATAAATAAAATTGAGACAGTGCCAAGGTCAGACGAAACGTTACAGAAATATATTTGAGTTCGTGTGCAGCAAGACTCTTAAATTGAATAGGATAGCCATTTACACTCTTGTCACAGCATCCTTGCGTAATACGCATACGGATCCACCTGCGCAAAGGCATAGAGCAAGGAAAGGTAGTTAGTTTCACGCAACCTCAACTGTTAGTTATTTGAGATCGTCTGCATTCTCGCGATTGATAAACTCCGTATTTCCGTGCGGATGTTTCCCGGCATACAAGTGCAGACTACAATTTCAAATGAAGGTCGTGTGTTCTCGGTAACGTGCATTTTTCCGCTTTTGCGTGTTTGACATTCGCCAATTTTCAAAGGAGTTTGTATATATATATATATATGCAATATTATTTGGTATCAAATACGTATAACATACTTATATTGCTATACTACAGAGACGCTCTTTACGCTATATTGTAAGTAATAAACTAGAAATCTCGAGAAGTTTTGTCGCAACAGTCGATGCTAGATAAATGGAAATAAAAACATGAATGCATACAGAAAATTCCAAAAAAGTTTGGTAAGTACGCTTTACTTCTAGTGCTAAGCACACGCCAGGTTGAACCAATTTTAGATACGATATCAGAGAAATTTTTACAGCATTCGTACGAGAAAATTGACTCAGGTAAAATTTCCATTAGTTGTGTCCTATGAGCTCAGAAGTTATGAAAAATGATTCCCATTTGCATAGTTTCCCAATTATGAAATTTTGTAGTTGTAACGATCTAAACAAATTTCAATAGATGTGCTGTAACTGTCTCCCACAAAGATGGATCCTCTGTGTAATGTCATTCTTTGGAACCTTTACTGTGTATTCGCTGAGAGTGAACTTGAGCTCAGCGATTGTCAGTATGGTTGACTACGAGAAACTTCGAGCGATTCGAAGTCCACTAAACAATTCTAGTTCAAGTGGCGCTACACAAAGCTTCAACTACTCAGTACCAAAATGCGAGAATGTTTTCGCTAAAAATGCAACAGGTGAATAGAACGACTCTCAATTGACACCGTCTTGACATTCATATTTTAAATCCCATGAAGGGTTCTTATTTCACACGGGAATCTCGAGATATATAAATATTTTAAATGTCGAACCAACCCTGATTTTTCTGTCAATGAATAGGGAGAGTTGTGTGAGAATAACAAATGTTGTAGTACAATTTTAGCTATGTTCTTGGTGAATTTATTGTTTATACTTTAATTCGCCTGCGTTCAATATATATATGATTTGGTTGTTATCAGTGGTTTCTTCGTTATCAAATGAAAACCGCATGCACGCACATATATGAGGGATATAATTCTACTGATTTTAGCTATGTCCCAAGTTTTGTATTAGCCTAAGTTTTTCACACTTCTCGTCGTATGGTGGCAGCGCAATTCCAAACAAACGAAAAGACTTTTATTATAATAACAAATATTAATATCTTCGTGGCCAAATGTGGTCAGAGCGCGAATGCAAATAACGGTAGATAAAACGATATATAGTACAACAATAGTACAAATATCTCCGATTTATGTTAGTTTTCGGTATCTTTTACTAGGAAAGTTGAGATTGAGAAATACAGGGTGGCCCAAAAGTAGGTGGTAGCCCAAAAGTAGGTAAACAGTTATTAAACTATTTTATAAGCTTTGAAGCTACTTGCAATTCACTTTATGTTACTTGTTAAGTACCACCAAAATTGCCTATTTATTTAGATAATAAATCTAGTGTGAATTTTACATTAGTTTTCTAGCTGCTTAGAAGGTAACAAAAAATAAATAAAATAACTGTATTGCTACTTTTGGGCCACCCTGAGGGCTTGGTCTGGCAGTTCTCAAAATTTAGGGGCGATAGCGATTCATAAAAATGGGTACTCCCGTAGTGTGCGTACCAGGTTAGGGTTAGGCCATAATTTTATTCCGATTTTCCCTATATTTGTCCTATTAAATTAGTTCGGGAACTGTCTGTATTAGACAAGGGAACTTGATGTAAAGTAGGCGAACAAAATTAGTTACCCCCATATTAGTACACACAATTAGCCTCGCCTAAAAATGTGTCGTAAATTCGAATGAATCATGTGCTATTTGTTTTTCATCAAATCCACAAAACATTTCCATCTACTAATGAAATAGGTTATCATGAAATGTCACTCCTATTTTTCTCTGTGTAGTTTTCAGTCTCCACGTAACCATCTTGTGGATTTGTACTATAAATAGTGAATAAAAATGAGTCTTTTTGTGATAATAAATAGTGAGGAATTTTTTAAATAAGCAGACCTACTCAGAATCGCTAAGAGATGATAAAATTCCAGCGATTTTGTCTTTTTGTGGTACTCTACATTCGTTCAATAAAAGTGCGAATTGATTTATACTTCTATTATAAATTAAGAGTTCAATATCTGTCTTCACTCTATAAAGTTAGTAAATTTGACCCTTCATGAGAGATAATGTCTGGACGATTCAAACTGATGGAAGAAACTTTACTCTCTTATTTAAGATCTATTCAATTCAAGAGTTTTGCTACACACGAACACAAATGTATTTTTGTAATGTTTCGTTTGTCCGCGGTTAGACTTCTTCAGACAAGCATTTTACAATTATAACAAAAAACGCAATTGCATGCACATAAATATTGGTTTCAAATGTTGGATTTGTTTGCGATAGAGAGATATAAATAAAATTGGGACAGTGCCAATGTCAGACGAAACGTTACAGGAATATATATATTTGTGTTCGTGTGCAGCAAGACTCTTAAATTGAATAGAATTACCATTTACACTCTTGCCACATCATCCTTGCGTAATACGCATACGGATCCACCTGCGCAAAGGCATAGAGCAAGGAAAGGTAGTTGGTTTCACGCAACCTCAACTGTTAGTTATTTGAGATCGTCTGCATTCTCGCGATCGATAAACTACGTATTTCCGTGCGGATGTTTCCCGGCATTCAAGTGCAGACTACAATTTCAAATGAAGGCCGTATGTTCTCGGTAACGTGCATTTTTCCGCTTTTGCGTGTTTGACATTCGCCAATTTTCAAAGGAGTTTGTATATATATATATAGCCTATATGCAATATTATTTGGCATCAAATACCTATAACATACCTATATTGCTATACTACAGAGACGCTCTTTACGCCATATTGTAAGTAATAAACTAGAAATCTCGAGAAGTTTTGTCGCAACAGTCGATGCTAGATAAATGAAAATAAAAACATGAATGCATACAGAAAATTCCAAAAAAGTTTGGTAAGTACGCCTTACTCCTAGTGCTAAGCACACGCCAGGTTGAACCAATTTTAGATACGATATCAGAGAAATTTTTACAGCATTCGTACGAGAAAATTGACTCAGGTAAATTTTCCATTATTTGTGTCCTATGAGCTCAGAAGTTATAAAAAATGATTCCCATTTGCATAGTTACCAATTATGAAATTTTGTAGTTGTAACAATCTAAACAAATTTCAATAGATGTGCTGTAACTGTCTCCCACAAAGATGGATCCTCTGTGTAATGTCATTCTTTGGAACCTTTACTGTGTATTCGCTGAGAGTGAACTTGAGCTCAGCGATTGTCAGTATGGTTTGACTACGAGAAACTTCGAGCAATTCGAAGTCCACTAAACAATTCTAGTTCAAGTGGCGCTACACAAAGCTTCAACTACTCAGTACCGAAATGCGAAAATGCTTTCGCTAAAAATGCAACAGGTGAATAGAACGACTCTCAATTGAAACCGTCTTGACATTAGTATTTTACATCCCATGAAGGGTTCTTTTTTCACACGGAATCTCGAAATATATATAAATATTTTGAATGTCGAATCTCTCCTGATTTTTCTGTCAATGAATATTGAGAGTGGTGCAAAAATAACAAATGTTGTAGCACAATTTTAGCTATGTTCTTGGTGAATTTATTGTTTATACTTTAATTCGCCTGCGTTCAATATATGATTTGGTTGTTATCAGTGGTTTCTTCGTTATCAAATGAAAACCGCATGCACGCACATATATATATATGAGAGAATGTACAATTATGCAATATGTATTTTTCGCTCATTTTGTAGCTGTAACTAAATACTTTATGAGTAACCGTGAAACTTGCTTTTATATTTATTGTTCATCTGGTATTCAAAATCATTTTAGCATGATATGTTTTTTATTTTTACTTCGAAAGAGCCTGCAGCCGATGGATGGGAAGGTGAAAAGTTTTTATGGGATGGAAACATGCAGGGACTGGCGCTGGGGTCATATTTTTACGGATACGTATGTTCACAGGTACGCATATATATATAAGCTAAAGAGACTTGCAACTTTATAGTAATAAACTCAAAACTTCAAATTCGAACAAGTCATTGTTTAGATATTCGCCATATGTGTTTGAACTTGTGCTAATTCACGTGGATCTGTTATCATATTTTCGCGTATTCAGATTTCATGCGGCGACAATTTTTTCCTTCTTTTTTCTTTTCTATATATATAGTTTTTATACGATAGTGTGCTTTCCGTAAAATGCCCTGATGAAGTTTTTCTGAATGAAAATTCGAAACGTCAAAAATTATATCGTTTTGCTATACACCAGTTGTGATTTATTTATCATCGACATGAATATACCTGGTAGCAATCTTACGCTATTAAAACTTTAAATTTTAAATAATATTCAGACATTTGGTACCTGGATTGCAAGAAAGCTTGGCCGTGTTCGCGTGTTTGGATTTTGTATTCTTTCTGCATCAGTGTTTACAATTATTCTCCCATTTGCAACTCAGATTGGATTTCCGGTTTTTGTGGCCACTAGAATCCTGATTGGCTTTTTTTCGGTAAGCTTGCTTTACAAAGACTAGACAGACTCTAGTCACTAGAGTATAGTATATTTTGAACGTCAACAAAAATATCGATTTTTTTTGCTTCACAAGTTTGTGTTTATGTTGATCAATGTCAATGAACGATTGTCGTCACGTCCCGGACCAAAACCACTGAATAAATATGAATATTATACGTGATTTTGCATCAGGTATCTGGTTCCACGTGCAAAAAATATGGCCATTTTTATAGTTGGTTAGGAGCTCAAATTTTCAAACAGCGGAATGTCTTGAAAAAATCGACTGTGTCAGTTTTGACCTATCCTACAGTCGCAACATGCTGAATAGGATGTACTTATATTACCTATATTGTGTATAACCAACTAATTTTCACAGTATATCATATATATTTTGAACATACTTCATAATGTTCAATCACTAGGGCGTTTCATACCCGATCCTTCAAGCAATGTGGACGGTGTGGGCACCATCGTCTGAGAGAAGCAAGTTTTTATCGATACAATATGCTGGTGAGATAACGACATAAACATTCCAGTGTAACAGTTTGCTCTTTATCATGCGTACCTTTGTTGATGTAATGCTTGAATATAATTCAACTTTCAAAAGTCCATTTTAGGTCAAGGTAATGTTTTAAACACTCTTCATTAGTCATCCGACATTGCCAACAAGGGAAACGTGTGCAGACATTTATTCTCATGAATAATGTGATATTTAATTGTAGCCGTAACTGTGAAAATTCGTGGCAGTTGTTTTGTTGTTATCCCCTAACTAGTCACCTGGTGATTTTTATTTACTTTATCGACATTTGTAACTAACGGGTATTACAATTCAACACAGGAGGACCTTTCGGTAATATTATTGTTTGGCCTATCGCTGGTCTCTTGCAAACAAATTTTGGATGGGAATCAGTATTTTACATTACAGGTATTCATTTTTTTTTTATTAACAATCGTGAACACAATTCACAAACACACAACCGATATACATATATATATCGTATGATATTATTATTGGACACAAAGTAACCCTTTTCTCTAAAATCTTCTGTTCTCACAACTTTTAATTCAGCTAAGATGAAGGTATTCATAATATGCTATTCGGTACAATTCTTTTAACATTTATCTTGGATTTTGCTCACATTGATCATTTGACATTGATTGATTGAGCCATATTGATCATTTGACATCAGGCCTATCTATTCGAGCATTGCCTTCTTGTTATTTTAGGAATAATAGGATGCATCTGGTTTATTTTCTGGTGGGTACTCATATATGATTCTCCAGCTGAACATCCGTTTATTTCTGAAGAAGAAAAACGCTACATTCAGGATTCACTAGGATACACAGGGAATGATGAAGTACCTGTGTTTTTCATCTATTACAAAGTTGAATTTATCACGCTATGGACAATATAATATTTTGATGAAACAATTTACCTTTGATTCATTAGGCGTAAAAGCAAAATCTATATATATGTTTTTTGACTCAGGTAATTACTAATACTACATTTTACCTTTTCAGTCAATTAATCAACGAACTAGAGCGGTGCCATGGAAAACATTGCTGGGATCGATTAGAGTTTGGTCTGTGATCATTCCCATGTTTACTTCTAATTTCTTGCTTTTTGTTTTCCTTACAATGCTACCATCGTATTTACGGACCGTGTTAAATTTTGACATAAAAGGCGTAAGTAATCTATTCAATTTAGAATCACTGTATAAAGGAATGCTGGTAGAAAGAAAAATAGGTGCAATCCAAAATTTTATTGATTCACAGCAGAAAATATTTTTCACTTCAAAAATCTGGTTCATTGCACCTTGTCTTTTAACAATCAACTGTTATTGTGTATTATGAAATTATTGTTTTTCAAAAGCAAATTCAAGCTGAAGAGAACAACCTACGGCAATAGCAACCCTGAATATGCCGTGCTAATTCTCGAATTAATAATTAACCAATTGATAGATAGACACTATTTACGACATATGCAATAGAATCATTATCACTCTTGTAGACCCTTTTTCTTAGCTCTACATGTTACAAACAGTCGCATATTTCTCATACATTTACAGAGTGCAGTTTTAAGTGCCATCCCATATATGGTGAAATTTCTTACTTTCCTGGTAGTTGGATTACTTGCTGATTGGGTAATTTCATTAGGTGTAAAACCCATCTATGTTCGTAAATTATGGACATCGATAGGTAAGTTAGTTAACTAATTATAGATCTATTCCCCTAATGAATATTGTTGTTTAGCATTGTGTTTTGCACATAAGATTCAATATCATTTTCTGTCCTAAATTTGTTTGTTGTTAGTGAATTGCTGTTAGGAATGGTTGTCTTGAGATAGAAACTGAAACTTCCGAGGTTTAGTATTAGTTATACACTTTTGACAGCAACCAAAATATATTACGATTACAGTCGCAAAAACTGACTTCATAAATGCATTTTCATCAAACTTCAATCCCCAATCTTTTCTAGGTACAAATTCCTTATAATTCAGTAAAAATGCACTTTCTTCAATATATTCTGAAATACTCTTAACACAATATCCAACTTGCATTTTTTTCAATTCAAGGAATGTTTGTTCCGGGATTGACCGCCATCATTGCAGCATACATGGAATGCAACATTGCAGTTGTTTTATTACTTTTCACGCTGACTGGTAAGTAAGTAACAATGATTGTGCTAGATCGTTTTGTTCTGTTATTTATACAGAATTGACTAAATATTTTAGCGGTAACTGTAAAATATTTCAGGCAATCATTAGACCCGACTTGATTATCAAAATAATTGAGTTCTCTCAGAATTTTAAAAACTGTGACTGCGCTCAACGTAAATAAACTCATACTTTGACTGGATTTTGTATCATTCAGTCGCCACCGATGCCTTCAACACGGCTGGTTTCAAAACTGCAATGATTGAAATGGCACCAGCATTCGCAGGAATCATATACTCATTCGCAAACACGATTGCCACAAGTTCTGGTTTTATCGCTCCACAGGTAGCGGGAGGTTTACTCGAGTTGCACGTAAGTATTACTTAACTTTGCTATATTTCAAACTCTCGATCTCAACTAGAAAATGAGTTTACAATACACTTTTATAGCCTATATCGAAAATTATTATCGGTTCTTATCTAGGATGTCTATATAGTTTTGATTCATACTTTATCTATCTCATGCATTTACAGCAAGATGATCCGATCCAAGGCTGGAGATCATTGTTCTGGTTGGCATCAGTTGTTATATACGTTGGTGGCATTTTTTTTCTTGTATTTGGAACATCAGACGTGCAGAAATGGGCCAAGACCAATGCAGAAATAAAAAAGGATAACATACAGCAAGTTACAGAAGAAACCTCACAAAATAGTGGTCAAAAAATTAATTTATTGACCTAAAGTGTTGATCCGATGTTCGCCTTGTGTATACTGCCACAGTCGTGTGTTATTTTATTCAGAAATTCAATTTATCGTATATGTATTGTATTATACACAATTTTACGTCGATCCCATAATTTAGATTATATATATTTTAATTTTATTGTAAAACAAGAGAGCTATGCTCAAATATATGGACACGTAGCGCCACCCAGTGGCAATATTTTTGATGACGTCATAGCGAAAAAAAAGTAATAGCCTTCTGGAGAAAAATTTTATCTTTAACCACTGAAAATATCAAAGCAATTGGTCCAGTATTCGAAGAGAAAAGCGATTTTTTAAAAATGGAGACGGAGACAAATAACAATAACAACAAAACTTTGAAACGATCGTTATGGCCACTAAACGTGTCCAATAAAGTATATATATATATATATAATCTACTACTAGTGAATACAAATATCAATCTGCCGAAATTTGGACTGTTTGCGAATTGTGATCAATGATTTTTCATAAAGCACAATATGCCAAACAATTCAGAAAACTGTACTGCAGCTGAAAAATTGGTACACTTTCAAAATATCAAATAAATGACAGGTATATTGAAATCGATTATGGTTTTTGTTTGTTTTTTAAAAATTTGTTAAAAATTTGTTGTATATATAATAAGTTTTCAACAAGGAAATCACTAAAACTTTCCAACATGTAGCGTCCATCAAGTCCAACAACATCGATGACACAATTATTTAATAATATCTCATTTACGTGAGATCAAATTATTTTGTTTGTAAAATGAACCGTATTAGAGTGTAAGTGTTTTAGTTTTTATTGCATCTTTTACAAGAGATAATTAGACATTGTGTGATCTAGTCAACTTCTTTTGACCTCGATACGGTAATCCCTGTGTCTTTACCGGGCTACGGTGCGGTCTTTCACCCACCAACAGAGCTGCATCAAATCGTCTATTGACTATATTGATAAGTAATGGCAATATATGTTTTAAATAATGTTTATATATACTGGAAATCACATAGTTTGATTGATTTGTTTTTTGATCTTGGACTACGGCATTAATTTGATGCAAAGTTGTAAACAGTTTAACAGCATTGTGAAACAGTATTTTACAGCAATTTCGAATACAAAAAACAGTTATAAAAGTTTATTTAAGGATTAAAACTGAGGGCGGACTATTAGAAGAAGAGCAATATAACAAGATGTATGTAAGATCATCATCATAGAGCGGAAGAGAGTTGGGACACTTTTTGCATGTAGTTTTCATAGGGTGGCTAAGAAATTCGCAATCGACATATATTTTACCACCAAAATGCTTTGAAAATGGTCCATTGCACCTCACTGATGGGGCGCATTTGGACACACTTTGGTGCACCATGGGGCAGTCTATTAAATTCAACTAAATATAACGTTAAGAAATATCAACATCTAAAGACCTATGGAACTTCAAATTTGAGGATTCAATTTTTTTTAAATCCACCAAAATATTTCAGACATTTTTCAAAAAAAATCTTAGAACGACCTTTCTCCATTGGCAACATAAAACCACTTTGGTGACTTACCTTTCTAAAGAGTCTGCCATTGTAGAACTACTTGTTGGATATTTTAGATTCTTACTATTACATCTGAAATAAATTATTTGTTTACTTTTGGATTGGGCCTAATTTCAATTAATTGAAAAAGAGTTCTGAAACCTCCATTTTCGACAATGTCAGTACTTTTGAAAAAAAAATGCCATAAACAAATACGGGTTTTTAGAGATCAAACAATATCTATTTATTCACTAACACGACGAATAAATTAAATAAAAACATACAGTATATAAATATTAGTTTTAGCTGAAAGAATATGGGGCTTTGTCAGTAACTTCTCATTTAGGGATGATAGCGATTATGTCACTTTGAAAGCTCTGGGTTTGCCCAGTTGAAAACAAAACTATTGTAACTAATAAAAACATGTTGGAATGAAACGATAAGTTTTTGTTCGTTTATGCTACTCGCCAGTCGCCATTCGTTCTTTCACGTTAAAGCTAATATATTCTTCCTCTAATATTAATTAAGAGCTGAGTATCCATCTACTCTTTACTATATAACGTCAGTCAATTCAACCATTAATGTCGGATGGTTCGAACTCACAGAAGAAACTTGACTTTTTTTATTTAGGTCGTTTGTACTATCGAGTCATTAAAATTGATGGATTGCAACCTCAGTTTGAAAGATGCCTATTAATTCGAACTTCCTGAGAACGATGATTCGTGAAATCTGTTTCTGTCAGATATGATCAGCGTAATCAATGCGAGACTAAAAGTAAGACGGTTGTTTGCCATACCAAATCCATCATTACACATATGCCAAAGTTCTGAATGCTTGTGACAAACGAGAAAAAGCATTTCCGGGCGGAAGGTTTCTGGCAGACGAGCTACATTTTTAAATAAATGCCATGTGTTCTCATTAACGTACATTCTACCTATTCCGCTTACTTGTGGTTCGCCAATATTATTTGTTATCAAAAACGTATAATATGCATTTTTCGCTAAACTGCAGAGATGTTGTTCACACCATATTGTAAGTGAAAGTCGGCGAAGGATAAAAAAAAGGAAATAAAAACATGAATGCATACAAAAAATTTAAAAAAAAAAGATGGATCCTCGGTATAATGTCATTCATTGGAACATTTTGTATGTTTTCGTTAAGAGTTAACTTGAGCTCAGCAATTGTCAAATTGTCAGTATGGTTGACTACAAAAAACTACTAGCGATTTGTAGTTTACTGAACAATTTTAGTTCAAAAGGCAATACGCAAATCTATAAATTGAAACCGATCCATGAATTCCCCTGGATCTATGTGTACTTGGGGCCGGGGCTACGACTCGGTCTGAAAAATTACTCAGATAGATTTATTTTTTGAATAATGTGAGGCACAGTTGACAAATATTTAAACAACAATGCAAGAGTTTTTACAGCAATGCTATACAATCTCGAGAAATAAAACAATATGTCTGTAAGAATATCATCGTATGCAGATTGGTAGGAGCAAATCTGCTGGGGTATTTCGAACATGAATTTAATTTAGAAGTGTTCGAATACATCTATGTTTGAGAGAAGCGTAGCGCATTGCGATTTTACTATTATAAAAGTCGTTGAATTATGAACTGCAAATATAACTACTACGATCTTGGCGTCAATCTTTGCTCGGCGGTGGAGCGCATCTCGCTAAGCGTTAGGAATACGCTGCGCGGGTTCGAATCCCATGGGGGGTAAATATGTGCGAGAGGATCGCTGGAGTCCACGCCGCTGTTTACACAACCGCCGGTCGGTTACAGCTTCCTCCACCACCAAGTTCATGCATCTAAAACATATACTGGCTAACTTATTCAATATGACGACATGGACTGGTAACCGAACGGGAGGCAGTGGTTCTATCTAGGCAGTTTCCCCCTCCCTAAATATGTAAATCTTATCCTAATCTTTGCAAGTTCGAAAAACGAAGCGCTTTATCCTATATATAAATAAAAAATAATATCAGACAAAACAATTGCCAGTGTATAACAATGTTATCATAATCCTCAATGAATAAATTTCAATTTATTCTGTGCATGTACATTTTTGCATTCTTCGTTGCGTCGTTATTGTTATCGCGAATATTACGTACAAATTTGAAGAAAAAAAAATGAAAATTAATTTGTTCTTCTGAAGCCATCATAAAACAATCTTTCATACCGAGACAGAAATTCATATTTTCTCTTTTAAAACAATTCACTCATTTACCTCAGACCAAAATCGACCTGTTATGGGACTAATAGCAAAATAAATGCAATAAAGTTTCAGTGCGTAGTTTACAAAATTCACACATATTTGTATCCACTCGACTTGTAATCCGAACCCATATAATAAATCGGTAAATACCACAAAGCAGTGCATTATATCTGGTACAAATGGCCATTTCAACTCATTGGATGGCTATGTTCCAATCTCTAATAGTAGATCTCATCATCGAGGTGTGGGTGTTGGTCTCAATATTCGAAATGGCCTGAAATACATTGTTCGCAACGATCTCACTATCATGTGTGTGAAGATCTTTGAGTCCATATTTATTGACATATCATTAGAAAATAAAACAATAACCTTTGGGACTATTTCTAGATCACCATTCACTATAATTTTCTTGATGAGTCTGATATTAATACCCAGGCTTGTCCATGGGAATGGGATTCCCATGGGAAACGTCCTATGGGATGGGACAGCACACATTTGTATTTCCCATGGGACACGTGGGACACGAATACTGTGTGATTTTCGGGGAAATGACGGTAAAACATTTCGTTATGGACTTCATGTCAATATACTTGAGCATAGCTTTCTTGTTAGTCATGAAAAGCAAAATATATTCAGCATTGAAAATATACTTCGTGAAGGGACTGATGGACACTTGTATAATAGTTATGAATACAAAGTTAACGAAGTCCGTAAATTTTGTTGTTTTGCATGTCTATTCGTACATGTAGTCCTATTTAGTAGACGCTAAACCCAAATTCAACAATTTTTATTGAACTTTATTCCAATGGGAATTCCAGGTATGATACTGAGTTACGCAAACTCAACACAAAGTCAAACAAAAAACCAAAGGAATCTTTATGCTCCACTACTCCAAAATAAGAAAGCAAATTATTATACTGATTATTTGGTTTCTGCGAGACTAACTACTTATCCTTCTTCTATGCTTTTGTGCCGGTGGATCCGTATGCATATATTGCAAGGATGCTGTAGCAAGAGTAGAGATAACAATCCTAAGTGATTCAAGAGTCTTGCTGCACACTAACACAAATATATTTCTGTAACGTTTCGTCTGACCAAGGTCAGACTTCTTCAACTAGTCTTCTACTTCTTCAACTTCAACTAGTTGAACTATGTATGTCTGAAGAAGTCTGACCTTGGTCAGACGAAACGTTACAGAAATATATTTGTGTTAGTGTGCAGCAAGACTCTTGAATCACTTAGGCAAATTATTATATGTCGAAATTTTCCTCTCACAAAAGCAACATCAAGGTAGTGTGGAAACAATTATCAAACTGATGATAAAAATAAAATCAGATATTGTCCTTCGATTGAACTCGAATGCAATAATACCAAAATTGCAAATAAATTTATGAACACTTTTCCCAAGTAGCACAAAGCTTGT